AGTCCCACCGTGAATAAAATCGACTTTGTCCCTGCTCTCACAGAGGTTCCATTGCAGGATACGTACGTATGGAGGGGAGGGGAGTGGGCTGTAGATACAGATGGGGACAAGATATGTCAGAAATGGGTAAGGGCTATAAAGGAGCTGAGAGTGTCTGGAGAGGGGGCATGACTTGAGACATGAGAACAGGGAAGACCAGGCTGAGGAACTGGGTTCTGGGGGATGGAAGGATGAAGATCCAGAGGAAGAGGGTGCCTGCCCTGGTGAAACGGTATAGGGAAAGGCTGTGAAATCCATGTGCTGGAGGAACTTTAAGAAGGCCAGTGTGGCTGGACCAGAGTGATACAAAGAGAGCAAGTCAAGGCCTGGCGGGGTGGCTCCTATCTGTAATCCCAGCACTTTGGGAGGCTGAGGTGGGTGGATCACCTGAAGTCAGGAGTTCGAGACCAGCCTGAACAATGTAGTGAAACCCTGTTTCTACTAAAAATACACAACTTAGCCAGGCATGGTGACATGTGCCTGTATTCCCAGCTACTTGGGAGAATGAGGTGGGAGAATCACTTGATATTGGGAGGCAGAGGTTGCAGTGAACTGAGATTGCACCCCTGCACTCCAGCCTGGGTGACAGAATAAGACAGTCTCAAAAAAAAAAAAAAAAAAGCAAGTCAAGAGAGGATCCCAGTGCCAGCTGTAGACCATGATGGGGAGTTCACAATCAATTTTTCTTTTTCTTTTTTTTTTTCTTTTTTGAGACGGAGTTTCGCTCTTGTTACCTAGGCTGGAGTGCAATGGCGGGATCTCGGCTCATCGCAACCTCCGCCTCCTGGGTTCAGGCAATTCTCCTGCCTCAGCCTCCTGAGTAGCTGGGATTACAGGCACATGCCACCATGTCCAGCTAATTTTTTGTATTTTTTAGTAGAGATGGGGTTTCACCATGTTGACCAGGATGGTCTCGATCTCTTGACCTAGTGATCCACCCGCCTCGGCCTCCCAAAGTGCTGGGATTACAGGCTTGAGCCACCGCCCCTGGCCCAATTTTTCTTTTTTTGAGCCAGAGTCTTGCTCTGTTGCCAGGCTAGAGTGCAATGGCACGATCTTGGCTCACTGTAATCTCTGCCTCCTGCAAGTGATTCTTCTGCCTCGGCCTCCTGAGTGGGACTACAGGTGCATGTCACCACGCCCAGGTAATTTTTGAATTTTTAGTAGAGATGGGGTTTCACCATGTTGGCCAGGATGGTGTCCATCTCTTGACCTCATGATCCGCCCACCTCGGTCTCCCAAAGTGCTGGGATTACAGGCATGAGCCGCTGTGCCTGGCCACAATGAGTTTTTTTTCTAGGGGGATAGGGGGCCACTAGAAGAATTAAGAATGAAGACTCAAAGGCAGCAAGACAGGAAGTAGGGAGACCAATTAGGAGGCTTTGGCTGTGACAGAGGCAGGAAATGATGATCTGGACCAAGTCAGAGTGAGAGAAGAGGTAATATTCTAGGGGTCTTCGGGAGGTGACTGAGAAATGAGGGCAACATTCCCTAGGTGGAGGACACCAGGAGAGAAGCAGGTATGTTGGAGACATGTAAGGGGAGGTGGGGAGAGAAACCAATTCAGTTGTGGGCATATAGAGTATGGAGAGTCGGTGGACAGCCAGAGATACTGTTCCAAGCTGGAGGAGAGACCAGATGATACTTGAAGTTTTTGTCCTTTAAAAATTCAGTTGCCAGGAGCAGTGGCTTATGCCTGTAATCCCAGCACTTTGGGAGACTCAGGCAGGACAGCTCACCTGAGGTTATGAGTTCAAGACCAGCCTGGCCAACACGATGAAAACCCATCTCTGCTAAAAATACAGAAATTAGCCAGGCATGATGGTAGGCACGTGTAATCCCACCTGCTTAGGGGGCTGAGGCAGGAGAATCGCTTGAACTTGGGAGGCAGAGGTTGCAGTGAGTGGAGATGACGCCACTGCACTCCAGCCTGGGTGACAAGAGCAAGACACTGTCTCAAAAAAAAAAAAAAAAAAAAAAAATTAGTTATAGGCCAGGCGCGGTGGTTGATGCCTGTAATCCCAGCATTGTCGGAGGCTGAGGTGAGTGGGTCACCTGAGGTCATGAGTTTGAGACCAGCCTGACCAATACAGTATCTCTACTAAAAATACAAAAATTAGCCAGGGATGGCAGGGCATGCCTATAATCCCAGCTACTTGGGAGGCTGAGGCAGGAGAATCCCTTGAACTCAGAAGGTGGAGGTTGCAGTGAGCTGAGATCGTGGGCCACTGCACTCCGGCTTCAGCGACAGAGCAAGGCTCTATCTCAAAAAAAAAGAAAGAAAAAGTTATCATCTAGGCATGGTGGCTCTCGCCTGTAATCCCAGCACTTTGGGAGGCTGAACTGAGTGGATCCCTTAAGCTCAGGAATTTGAGACCAGCCTTGGTAAATTCCATCTCTACAAAAAATAAAAAAAGTAGCTAAACATGGTTGTGCAAGCTACTCAAGAGGTCAAAGTTGGAGGATCACTTGTACCCGGGAGGTTGAGGATGCGATGAGCTGAGATTGTGCCACTGCACTCCAGACTGGTCAACAGTGAGACTCTGTCCCAAAAAATAACTAAATAAAAATAAATGGCCGAGCGCGGTAGCTCATGCCTGTAATCCCAGCACTTTGGGAGGCCGAGACGAGCGAATTATGAGATGAAGACATCGAGACTATCCTGGCCAACATGGTGAAACCCTGTCACTACTGAAAATACAAAAATTAGCTGGGTGTGATGGCATGCACCTGTCCAGCTACTTTTGAGGAGGCTGAGGCAGATGAATTGCTTGAACCCATAAGGGCAGAGGTTGCAGTAAGCCGAGATTGCACCACTGCACTCCAGTCCTGGTGACAGAGACTCCCTCTCAAAATAAATAAATAAATACAGTGTCTCACACCTGTAATTCCAGGACTTCGGGAAGCCAAGGCAGGACGATTGCTTGAGATCAGTGTGGGCAACATGGAGAAACCCCATCTCTACTAAAAACACACGAATTAGCCAGGTATGGTGGCTCCTGCTTGCGGTCCCAGGGACTCAGGAGGCTGAGGCAGGAGGATTGCTTGAGCACAGGAGGCCAGGGTTGCAGTGAGCCGAGATCCTGCCCCTGCACTCAGCCTGGACGATCAAGTGAGACTCTGCTAAAAAAGAGAAAAAAGAGCCGGGCGCGGTGGCTCAAGCCTGTAATCCCAGCACTTTGGGAGGCCGAGGCGGGTGGATCACGAGGTCGAGAGATCGAGACCATCCCGGTCAACATAGTGAAACCCCGTCTCTACTAACAATACAAAAAATTAGCTGGGCATGGTGGCGCGTGCCTGTAATCCCAGCTACTCAGGAGGCTGAGGCAGGAGAATTGCCTGAACCCGGGAGACGGAGGTTGCGGTGAACCGAGATCGCGCCATTGCACTCCAGCCTGGGTAACAAGAGCGAAACTCCGTCTCAAAAGAAAGAGAAAAAAGAAAAGAGAAACTAAAGAAAAGAGAAGAAAAGAAAAAAGAAAAAACCTACTTAGTAGGGTTGCTGTGAGGGTTACAGAAAACAAAAGCATCTTCACCAAGCCTTAGGCCATAGAAAGGTCTTTCGATTGTTTGTTTTTTGAGTTGGAGTCTCATTCTTGCCTAGGCTCGAGTGCAGTGGCCTGATCTCTGCTCATTGCAACTTCCATCCACACCCGGCCACAGAAAGATCTTAATAAAGCTGGGCGCACTGGCTCGCCTGTAATCCCAGCATTTTCGGAGGCGGAGACGGGCGGACCACGAGGTCAGGAGACAGAGACCATCTTGGCCAACATGGTGAAACTCTGTCTCTACTGAAAAAAAAAAAAAAAAAAAGAAAAGAAAAAAATCGGCCGGGCACGGTGGCACGCGCCTGTCGTCCCAGTTACTTGGGAGGCTGAGGTCGGAGAATTGCTTAAATCCGGGAGGCAGAGGTTGTCGTGAGCCGAGATCGCGCCACTGCACTCCAGCCTGGCAACAGAGCCATACTCCCTCTCACAGAAAAAGAAAAAATAAAGGTCTTTTTTTTTTTTTTTTTTTTTGAGATGGAGTTTCGCTCTTGTTGCCCAGGCTGGAGTGCAATGGCGCGATCTCGGCTCACCGCAACCTCCGCCTCCTGGGTTCAGGCAATTCTCCTGCCTCAGCCTCCTGAGTAGCTGGGATTACAGGCACGCACCACCACGCCCAGCTAATTTTTTTTTGTATTTTTAGTAGAGACGGGGTTTCACCATGTTGACCAGGATGGTCTCGATCTCTTGACCTCGTGATCCACCCGCCTCGGCCTCCCAAAGTGCTGGGATTACAGGCTTGAGCCACCGCGCCCGGCCAAATAAAGGTCTTAATACGTGTTAATTACTATTACTGACCCCGGGAATTCTCCGAAGCACTTTTCATGCAGGTATCACCTTTTTTTTTTTTAGCACTTACATTATGCCTTATGGGAAACAGAAGCTTAGAGTTGTCAGGAAATTCCTCCAGAGTCCCTTACATTTCCAGCAGGGGAGTCAAGACTTGAACCTAGCAAGTCACAAGCAGAAAAAGCTTGGCAAACGGGCCTGGGTCAGATAATGCTTAGGGCTTGCTCAAGGACTCATGACCAGTCGTGATCTATGCAAATCTTCTGACTGCAAATTGATAGCTGGATTGTAACTTGAAGGGTCTGATAAGACGGAAACTTCATAGAACAGGATTTGGGGAAGTAAAAGGCGTAGAGTCCTCCAGAGGAGTCGAGAAAGCTAGCTTGGCCCTCGATTGCGGATGAGGTGATTCTTTCATTTAGGCGTTATTTTCCTCATTTGTGAGTGCGGGAAGGAGAGTTATTGGGGTCTCTAGCGACCTTTCCAACACTGATTTTCAAGGGTGGAGGAATCCTGCTCAGGTAAAGGCCCAAATCCCTTGGCTAAAGTTAATCCTCGGTGGGGCCGGCAATAGGGACGCGTCCCCTTTAAGGCGCCAGCTCGCCAGCGGCGGCGGCCGGAAGTGTTGAAGCCCGGCCTGGCGGCGGCGGTGGCGGTAGCTGCCGTGGCGGCCTCTGCGCATGCTCCGTCGCCCGCCCGCCCTGGCCGCTCGCCGCCCGCCCGCCCGACGGAGACGGTGAGGAGGGGGAGGGGTGGGCGCGCGGGCGCGGGCGCGGGGTGGGGTGGGGGCGGGGGGGCGGGCGCGGGGGCCGCGCGGCGGCCGGCGAGGGCGGGCGGGCGCGCAGGGGGCGGGGGGCTGCTGCCTCCGCGGGCGCCTCCCCACGCCCTGTGCGTGCCGCCGCCGCCGCCGGGGAGCGAGCGGACGTCGCGGCGCCGCGGGGGGGTGGGGGGACGCTGCCGCTGGGTCCGCCCGAGCAGCCGGGCCGCCCCCAGCGCAGCCGGCCGTGCTGCCGGGGCTCGGGCCCCAGGCCAGGGCGGCGGGAACCGGCGAGCCCAGCACCGGGGGGGCCCCGGCGCCCCCGGACCGCGGGGCCCGGAAGTACTCGGCTGAGGGGCCAGGAGGGGCCGGAGTGACTCCGGACTGAGAGGCCCGAGCGCCCAGGACCCCGACGAGGGGTCCAGGGAGCGTGGGGTATCTCCAAAGGCGGGGTCCGGGGAGCACCGGGGCCTTGGATGGGGAGCTGGTTAGAGGCCCGGGCCCCGCCCGGTGGGAGGGGGACGATGAGTGAGGGAAGCCCGCCTGGGAGGAGACCCTCTGGGAGGTTTGGCTGGGGAGCAAAGAGTACGGAGTGGGTTCTTCCGAGGAAAGCAGAGTCCGGCGTCTTCCGAGGGCCGCAGTAGAGGCCTCGGCCGTTCAGAACAAGGGGGAAAAAAAGGCAAGTTCTTTTCCAAAAGCAGGGAGGGAAGAGGAGCTCCAGGGGGAAGTGAGCAGGCCCAGGTCTCCCTGCAGATGAGCGTGTGGTAGGAAGACTCCTGGAGCCTCCCGAGGTGTGAAAGAGCAGGGCTCCAAACGTGAGGGGGTGCAGGAGGCTCGAGTACCTCCTGCTGTCTAAGTGGAGAACAGAGGAGCCTGCCAGGTCAGGGCTGGAGAAAGTAGAGATCGTGGAGGGAAGACGCTTAGGGTGTTGGCGCCTTCTGAAATGGCAGGGGAATCGGCCAGGTGTTACCCAATGGAGGGGCAGGATAGATGAAGGCAGCATGCCCACCCGAGGGACTTGGAGGGTCCACCAGACGAGCCAGCCAAACCTTGACCTAGACAGCAAGCACAGCCCTAAATTCTCTTCAAGAGGAGAGAAGCCTCAAAACCACTTCCTAGCAGACACAGATGGGGCCTTGCCCGGTGTCTATTCAGGCGAATCAAGACGGGTTTTAGGAAGAGACTGTCAGATGCGATTCTAGTCTTGAGGGATTCTCTTTTCCCCCTTGCCTCTGCTACTAGTTAGCAAAGTGCATTTGGGGAACCTTTTCATTCAGTGTTTGCACTGTCTTCTAATTTGAGAGCCTTAAATCAAGGACGTATATTTAATATCTTAAATGATGATTTTTTTTTTTTTTTTTTTGAGGCGGGGGTGCCTATTTACTTCAGCAAACACATTGAATAGGTGGCTTCTACTCAGCTTCATTAGGTTTATCAGAGGGGCCGTATTTTGGTCTTGCCCTGAGCCAAAATCCGCTGGGCTGTAGGGATGACTCTCCTAAGAACTCATCCCATCGCTCCCTCAAACATTTACATAGTAGTCTCCAGTCTGTGACTTAGAACTTCACCTCCTCTGAATACTTCTCTCAATGTTTTTGCGTAGTTTACTTGTCGACTTCATTACATCTTGCACTCTGGATCACTCGCTGAATACACGAGAAGAAATAAAGGGGATATCAAGGAGTTTTAGCCTCAAGTAATACAATTTTAACTTGGATTTGTTCCCCTTATTTTAAACAAAACCATAGTTTAAAGTGGAAATTTCTTTTTTATTTCTTTTTCTTTTTGGGAAAAGAGTTTCCCTTTCACTGCCCAGGCGGGAGTGCAGTGAGTGGTGCGATCTCGGCTCACTGCAAACTCGATCCTCTCTTTCACCTCAGCCTCCTGAGTAGCTGGGACTACAGGCCCATGGCACCGAGCCCGCCTAATTTTGTTTGTTTTCGGGTGGTTGCTGTGAGCGGCCTCCTCGGCCTTTCTTCAGCTCGAGTTCTAGACCAGCTTGGGCAACATGGTGAAACCCCGTCTCTACAAAAAACAACAAAAATTAGCCAGGTGTGGTGGCGCTGCCGTTGGTCCCAGCTACTCAAGGAGGCTTAAGGTGGGAGAATTGCTTGAGCCCCGGAAGTTGAGGTTGCAGTGAGCCGAGAGTGTGCCAGTATTCCCCAGCCTGGGTGGCAGAGTGAGACTTTTGTCTCACCAAAAAAAAAAAAAAAAAAACAAAACTGCACAGTCTACAATAGTTACAATAGAGTGTGGAATAAAATATTTTGGGCCAATCGCAGTAGCTTAGCATGGTGGCAGACGCTTATAATCCCAGTTACTTGGGTGGCTGAGGCAGGAGAATCGCTTGAATCTGGGAGGCGGAAGTTGCAGTGAACTGAGTCCGTGCCATTGCACTCCAGCTTGGGCAACAAGAGTGAAACTGTCTCAAAAAAGTATTAAATAAATATTTTGGAGTTAGAAAATTTCAGGAATCTCGTACTTATTATTCATTTTTATTTTTTAGCCTCCAGAAAGTGCCAATATTATTATTATTATTATTATTATTATTATTATTATTTTGAGACGGAGTCTTGCTTTGTTGCCAGGCTGGAGTGCAGTGGTGCAATCTCACCTCACTGTAACCTCCACCTTCCAGGTTCAAGCAGCCTCCCGAGTAGCTGGGAGTACAGGCGTGCGCCACCACGCGTGGCTCATTTTGTATTTTTGGTAGAGATGGGGTTTCTCCATATTGCTCAAGCTGGTCTCGAACTCCTGATCTTAAGTGATCCACCCACCTTAGCCTCTTAAGTGCTAGGATTACAGGTGTGAGCCACTGCACCTGAATGATTTTTGTATTTTTAGTAGAGACAGGCTTTCACCGTGTTGGCCAGGATGGTCTCAATCTGTTTACCTTGTGATCAGCCTACCTCAGCCTCCCAAAGTGCTGAGATTACAGGTGTGAGCCATGGTGCCTGGCCAGTATTATTTCTTTTTAATTACTGCTTCCAGTGTCCCTCCCTGCATTCATGACATTTGTGTTTATTCAAACATAGCATCTTGCCACATTTTAAACATTGGATTTTCAGGGCACACAAAAACGAATTTTTTTCATTTAATTTCTGAGTGGGTCACAAGTAATTCGTTGAGTATTCTGGTAGCTATATGAGCAGTGATGTGCTTAGTTTCAAGGTGTCTTTTTTGTCTTTGAAAATAACTACAGGCTGGGCACAGTGGCTCAGGTCTTTAATCTCAGCACTTTGAGAACCTGAGGTGAGAGGACTGCTCGAGCCCAAGAGTTTGACACCAAGCTAGGCCACATAGCAAGACCTCACATCTACAGAGAAATAAAGAAATTAGGCCAGGTGCAGTGGCTCAAGCCTGTAATCCCAGCACTTTGGGAGGCTGAGGTGAGTGGATCATGAGGTCAGGAGTTCAAGGCCAGCCTGGCCAACATGGTGAAATCCTATCTCTACTAGAAATACAAAATATTAGCTGGGCGTGGTGGCGGGCACCTGTAATCCCAGCTACTTGGGAGGCTGAAACACAAGAATTGCTTGAACTAAGGAGGCAGAAGTTGCAGTGAGCCAAGATGGCGCCACTGCACTCCAGCCTGGGTGACAGAATGAGACTATCTCAAAAAAAAAAATAAATAAAAGCAAGTTTAAATAAAAAGAATTCCAGAGAGAGTTGTATGATTTCACATTGAATACTTTAAAGCCCCTTCCATGAAATACTCAAAGGATAAACTCACTCATTTTGCCTCAGGTGTTTTTGTTGCTACTTTTCCATTTACACTTAGCTCAGAGACGACCTTGCATTCAGGCAATGTAGTCTGTAGAGCTGGTTTTGGGTTACTTGTAAGTAATATGGTATTTAGGGTGATAAGTGATAACTCAACACAAACTTGCTTCTCTAAAGAAAGTCAGAATTGTCGTGTTGAATCAGACCCGTGACTTAGACTGATGTTGAAAGATGTATTGTGAGGCTGGGCGCGGTGGCTCACGCCTGTAATCCCAGCACTTTGGGAGGCTGAGGCGGGTGGATCACAAGGTCAAGAGATTGAGACCATCCTGGTCAACAGTGAAACCCCATCTCTACCAAAAATACAAAAAATTAGCTGGGCATGGTGGCGCGTGCCTGTAATCCCAGCTACTCAGGAGGCTGAGGCAGGAGAATTGCCTGAACCCAGGGGGCAGAGGTTGCGGTGAGCCGAGATCGTGCCATTGCACTCCAGCCTGGGTAACAAGCGAAACTCCATCTCAAAACAAAAAAAAGAAAGATGTATTGTGGATGATTATAATTATCCTCTCTGATAAATTCTCAGAAGGCTAGAGAAGTAGCCAAAACATTCCTCTTGCATACTAAGGTATGGTGTGGGTAAAGAGTAAAATATGAGTTCCTGTTGAGGAAGATATTAACGAAGAAGTTAGTCAACCACCTATTCAGAATGTTGTAGAGGGGACTTTCCTTAGGGTCGAATGTTGAAATTAGAAGCATCCTTCTAAATCTGCTTCTTTAACCATTTAATAATCCATTATTTTGCCTCAGGTATTACAGGTTGAGTATCCCTAATCTGAAAATCTGAAACCCCAAATCTCCAAAATCTGAAACTTTTTGAGCCAACATGATGGCATAAGTGAAAAATCCCACAGATTAGTAGTTAATGCAGACTCTTCTGTGCACAAAATTATTTTTATTATTATTTGAGACTGAGTTTCGTTCTTGTTGCCCAGGCTGAAGTATAGTGGTGAGATCTCAGCTCACCAAAACCTCCGCCTCCCGGATTCAAGCAATTCTCCTGCCTCAGCCTCCAAAATAGCTGGGATTATAGGCATGTGCCACTATGCCCGACTAATTTTGTATTTTCAGTAGAGATGGGGTTTCTCCATGTTGGTTAGGCTGGTCTCCAACTCCTGACCTCAGGTGATTTGCCTGCCTTGGCCTCCCAAAGTGCTGGGATTACAGGCGTGAGCCACTGCACCTGGCCTTTTTTTTTT